CCTCCAGAATATAGCCTTGCTCTATAAAGTTTTCTGGTGAGAGTAGCTGGCTAGTGATTTTTCATTTTGTTTTTGCCCCTCCATATTGAGATCTGGAGGATTGCTTACAATTGTCTACACATCCTCCCTCTGCAGAAACATCTCGCTCTTTCGGCTCCATGAGAGTTAATTCATCTCATTAAAATGAGCTACAGAAAATCCTCCTCCCATCCTGTAACAGATAGCATAATGCTGCCTTTACAGGCCAATAGACCTCAATTTCCCTAAGGCTCACAAAAAAACTTTTACCTCAGAAAAATACTACTGATGCTTCAGGGCGCTTCTGGGCCCGTAATCTGTCAGGGAATTGCACAACAGGTGTCCCAATGGAGTCAGAGACACTAACAAGAACTTGTGGTTTTATATAAATAAATATATTTACAGTAAATAAGTTAGGCGAACAGGAGAGTCATCAGGTAAATCAACACAACAAGAACATCAGGAGGCAAATTACAGAGAGCACACACAGCAAAAATACGGGACACAGAGAAACTCCCCATTTATACTCAGCAACCAATCACAGCTCAGATTCCCACATGCAGTGGCCAGCTCTCTTTAACCAATTAGATATAATGTGTGTTCTTACTTATTGTCCAACTCTTCAGCTGTTAAATACCCTAACACAATTTAAGCATACTGTGCTTCCCCAAAAATAAGCCCTAGCATGATTTTTTAAAAGATGCTTGTAATATGTTTATCTACCCCAAAAATAAGCCCTACCCAAAAATATAAATCCTACCCCAAAAATAAGCCCCACAGTCTTTTACATTCAAACCTACAGCCAGTCAGACATTTTCTGTAATATGTTAAAGCTTGCATGACCCAGCTTTCTGTGAAACAATTGTGCACACCCTTTATGTTTGGTTCATTTAAAAATACTGTTTGCACACTGCCACCGGTTTCCTTGTAGTTCAAATCATATAAATTGTTCAGTTTCAAACCTTGTTCACACATCTTGTTATTGTTTATGATCTTACATGCACCCTTTGCAGAAATTGCCTTATACCTTCACAATCGACAAGACATACTCAGATCATCAGCCCGGGGGGGGGGGGGCATGATCAGAACAGGAGGCGGTGAGTGTAAAGGGGGCAACAGTGTCCAGCAGCAGCCACAGCCAGCCAGCCTCTTGGCTGGCGCACTCCAGGATTGCATACTCTTTGCACCACAGGTCGTCTGAGCACTGCAACCACTAGGCCAACTGTCCAAGCAGCAGGCAGAGGCATGGGAAGAAACACACAATCCAACCCACCAGAAAGGCCTTACAGTCGCCTGCTCCATCATAGCCGCGGGCAAGCAAACTCAGACAGTGGGACAGAATGGACGCCTGGACACAGGAGTCTCATTCTGCATGTGTAGCAGAGCTGGAGGATGACACTGGACAGTGGGGTCCGAGCACGCAGGGTGCCAGCATGCCCCCCCTGCCCCTTGTCTTGTCTCACAGTGGCAGCACCAGCAGCAGGCAGAGGAAGAAGCACAGGGGAGGCATGCGATCTGGCTCACTGGACGAACTGCACAGCTGCTTGTTCATTGTGGCCGCTGGCAAACAAAGATGGGACAGAGTGGGCGGGTGGTTGCCCGGCCACCTGCCTACTCTGTCCCACTGTCTTTGTCCGTGGACATGATAGGGCAAGCGGCTATGCAATGTGTCCGGTGGGCCGGATCATGTGTCTTCCCCCTGTACCTCTGCTTCCACCTGGTGCTTGGACAAATGACCCAAAGGTTGCAGCACTGTGATTCATCGCATGTGGGCTGCGCAGACCCCAGAGTGTGCAGGCCAAGGGGCTGCTGGGCTGCCAGTGCTGCTGAACACCATTGGCCCCCATGCTGTCACCATCTCTTGAGTTTGCACTGGAGTTTGCAGTGCACGGCTGGGTTGATCAGCCTCATGCCATGTTTCTCCCACGTTTATCTAGCTTATCTAGAAGTAAGTTGTGGTCTACTTTATAAAATGTCTTGCTGAAGTCTAAATGTATTATGTCTACAGCATTTCGCTACTCTACTAAGATATGAAGCAGAATCAAGAAGGAGCACTGCTTTCTTACATTCAGGTTTCTTTACATG